ACTTGAGTCGCGGGTCGGTCCCTCGGTTAGGTGCATGATCAATCTGATAAGTGGTCTCTCTCTCTCGTATCGAAAAGAGTTGATTGGTTGTTGTGCAGGTGCTGTTTTTCTTGATGACGTCTCGGGATTTATGCAATTGATTGATATGTGGATTGACGAACGCCCTTCGATCGGGCGCCAGCCTCCTGTATCTCCCGGACCGACGCGACCTTTTCCTTACGACGAGGAAAGGACACGTGTATGCGAGAGGGACGTACGAGAAGCTGTCGCACGGATCGGCGGACGGTATTACTTCTCTCCTGAAAATCGTTGCTCCGGATTCGTGGATGTTGAATTTGTCATTATCGATACTCGCTTTCCTCCTTACTTGGTATTATTGCCCTTTAACGGGCTGATCGTCATTCCGTGGATGACAGTGGAACCCCACTAGCCTCGCACTCTGTGCACTGAGTGTCAGCGTTTCGAGCGCTACGAATCCAAGGGCTTTCACTACCGTATACGGAACGACGACGAACATAGAGAAAGAGCCACACGACTAAGACCCTCCACGTCAGACTCAGAACTGACCAGCGAGCGACGCCGTGACTTAATACGCAAGCGAGACACGCGAAGCGTGCCGAAGCCTTTTTGCTCTAAACGAAGGGCCGTAGCACGGTGGGAAGTACGATAGTATTTTTTGGATTAAATTTGTATTCCTCTCTCCTTTCGCGCCGAATTGTGCGCGCATTCTGCAATGCGCGAAAAGCACCCGACTTTCTTCATCGGACCGTCACGGGGGATTTCAGTTATGTCTGTGTCCCCACACTCAATTTCCAAAAATCCTTGGCACACCCCCATCTTGCTGCTTTTCTGGGCCTCTTTTCCGCACTCTTAACACTCCGAACGAAAGACAGCACGGGGCGTGAGGTTGGTATCGGAGTCGACATGTGTCGGTTCTGAGAATAGTGAGACGAGCTCGCGAGAGAAAGAGTCTTAAACAACCTGACCGCCTCAGTCCACCGGTCAAAACCACCTCGGTCCCTATCACCAATCTGCATTTAGCTCAGATAATCCACACTGCCACGACTAAACAGTCCGAATGAATGAATAACCTGTTGCAAATGCAGGCCTCTCAAATGGATCGACTAGAACAGATCATGACCAAACTGGTAAAGGCTAATTCTGGCCCTTCTCGCCCCGTTCCTGCTCAGTACCCGTTGCTTACGGCTCCTCCCGCGGGTGGACCAGTTCACTCCGCCACTCCTCTTCAGATAGCTAATCCAGCAGGAAGAATCGAATGCTATGACTGCAAGCAACCAGGGCATTTCGCCTGAGAATGCCCTCACCCGAAACGCAATCAGCCACCTCATGTTGCTGCGCTCGTAGCGTTGAACCAGGGATGAGTGGTCGCGGTATTAGAACAAGTAAGGGAGGCTTCCCCATTCATCACTGATCAGCCCCTCTCGGGTGATCAAGGCGCATCCACGTCAGGAGCCTCTGAAGCCGCGGATGTCGTCGATCCCACCGAGTACCTTCAGCTGGCCGGTCTGATCGGAGCGATTCGACCTGCCAAAGAAGAACTCGATTGAGTCGAACGAACATCAGAACCAGAACCTCAGTTTCAGACAGGAGAAATCGATCTCCTATAGACACTCAAACAGTTAGATATTCGAGTGCCAATCCCTGTAGGACATCTGTTGACTATATCCGAGGCCGCGAATGACAAGCTTCTACAACAATGTCAGAAGAATCAGAATCGCTTCACCTATCAACGCGTACAACATATGCTGAAAAAGAAGCAAGAAGACAAAAACGAAGCTAATCCGCCCCCAGTAGTCACCACAAACGCACCTGAACCAGCCCGAATCGCAGCTATGTCCTATGCTGATAAAGATCACTTTGTACGAGCGCGATCGGTCCTATGGAAAAACGTGGAATGCGATTGTGAAGTTTAGGGCAAACCTTTTGATGCACTGATTGACACCGGATCATCGACAGTCGTCATCTCCTTGAACACAGTCCGAAAAACTGAACGATTGAACCCTATCCTTCCTCTACCCGGCAGGGATAACTACGTCTCGGTCGATGAGGAAGCCATGAATATCGTGGGAATCATTGAGAATATCGCGATCAAGGTAGACCGAGTGCATGTGTTGGTTAGTGCGTTGGTCATTGACGTACATTTTTATTCAATATTGTTGGGATTACCCTGGGTGATGGCAGTAGGGGCTAAAGTCCATTTCGATTCAAGACAACTCATCCTCACTCAAACGGGAGGGAAGCCCCAGACTCTCCCTCTTCGAATCTCCACCCGATCCCCGCAGAAATATCCCGATATTGATCGGATAGGGATGATCCAGAATACTGAGAAATCCCCCTCGAACTCGGATTACCTTGTGCGGGAAGACGAGTTCAATGAGCACGAGTAGGAGGGAGAACTGAAAGTAATGCCCAACCACGAAGAGTGGAAACAGTTAGTCGAAATGTTCGATTGCGAAACGAAAGAGGAATTTCAGATGATTCCAGCAACAACTCGGACGTTTGATCTAAGTTCGGGTAACAGCGACTCCAGCCGCCCCTTACCTACAGAAAATCAGACTCTCCCTACGACCTTTTTGGGAAAACCGATCTTGCAAATCTCAGACATGGCCGATCTTTTGGAACCCCCTCGCACATTATACGAGGGCACATTGTCCCTCCGAGCGAGGTATCAACAGATGAGTCAATACTTGGATCTCTCTGTCTCCCCTCCCCGATCACTACTCATGCAAGGAGCCGTGATCGCCCTGATCAAAGAAAAGGTGGAAGCCCCGATCACCGACATTCCGGATCTCATGCAGGAAATGATGGAATTAACGGGAGTCTGGATAGCCAGAAGCACCGATGACCCTGAGACCGACGCTGAAATTAAAGAAACCGAAATGATCAGTCCAACAAAATTGCAGATGATCGCTACCGTCTTTTCGGTCCGAACTAGCAGTTCCATGTTTCCAGCGTCTATGACAGGCGATCGCGAAGATTGGAGTGGATTGACACTCCGCTGAGCTCGGGAAATAATACAATAATCGTCATTCCCAATCATGTCCCCAAGGATGTCCGATAATCTCTGATTAATATATTGCATGGCTATGCTGACGCATTGAGTATGGATGACAGCGATATCGGGCTATCTACTGTAATTGAGCACGAGATCCTTACGGGGGATCATCCACCCATTAGTTGCGCTCCGTACCGATACTCACCGGCGCAGAGAGCCGCCGCGTTAAAAAGAATTAAGGAATTCGAAGCTAATGGTTGGATTGAGCCCGCTATCGGACCATGGTCGTTTCCAGTAGTGATTGTGTCAAAGAAAGTAGGAGGAATTCGCAATTGTATTGATTACCGAAAACTGAACGATATCATGATTAAAGATGTGTATCCTCTTCCCCGGATTGATGAATTGTTGGATGCTATTGGTGGTGCTCGATTCTTTAGCAAATTTGATATTCGACATCGATTCCACCATCTTCTGGTTCGAAAAGACGACCGCTCGAAAACGACGTTCATTCTTTTCGAAGGAACTTGGCAATGGGTCGGATGTCCGATGGGGATTTGCAATGCCCCAACCACGATTCAACGCGCGATGAATATGGCCTTCCAGAATTTCGTGCGAAAAAACACGGCTGGCGCAAAGCATAATCAATTATTGTGTGATTGTATATATGGATGATATCCTTGTGTTCTCTACTTCCTATGAGTGACACGTGCAACACATTGAGTGGGCACTACACGCACTCAAGGACGCAGGGTTCAAGGTGGCGGTTGAAAAATGCCAGTTTTTTCTCACGGAGATCTCCTTCCTCGGGCACCTGTCTCGGGGACCCCTTCTTCCCCTGCTGATTCCGGCCCTCTCGCCAGTTCGGCCTTCTTTGCCACCCTTCTCGATAGATTCTGCTATTTTTGCACGTGTATCACACGTGTATCACACAGGTATACGGTGTGAATTGTCATCCTTTTGAGACCGGATTCATTGAGCGGGTAAATTGTGTCACGTGTGTCAATCGTGCACACGGTGCATGTGTTCGATATCGAACAAGTAGTAGGGAATGGAAATGCCCTCTGTGTAGGATGAACAAACTATCTACTGAGATTCGATTCGAGGCTGCCCGTACGGACAACCCTGAATACGACGAAAAATACCGACGAGCGGAGGTCTGGACGGATAAAATCCTATCGGCTAAGCTGGCTGGGTTACCCTTGGACCATCTCACTAAGCACGGCAGACCTCGGGCTACCGAGAGATCTCGGGATTACCGATGGATCAACGGTCACCTAGAAAAGAGTAAAACTGACGGATCGGGACTATGGTTGACGGTTCCCCATCCTTTTCAGAGATATGACTGGACTAGGTCCGCGCACGAGGAACAGGCCGCTCATTTTGCGATACGTGTCACCGAGGCAACTATCGATCAAAATCGATGGTTCTGGTCTAATATCCGCGATGATGTGAAGCACGTGGTCGCTAACTGTCTACTCTGTGCTGCCGACCGCGCACCCCTTCGAGGGCCGAATACGATAGTTCCAACGGAGGTAGAACGACCCTTTCAGCGGGTCAGTATGGATACGACCGACATAGACGTGCCACCGACCCAACCATTGCGAATACTCCATCCTCTTGGTATTGATCGATCATTTCTCGAAGTATATCGAAGTCTACCCGTGTAGAACCCGAAAGGCCGTAGAAATAGCCACATACATCGATCGGTTTCTCTATACTCACCTAGATACGGAAGAAATTCTAACCGACAATGGTTCCGAGTTCAAAGGTGAGGTAGAGGAATTACTCGCACGAAGAGGCATTACGGTTCAACATACGGCACCCCACGTTTCCCAGTCCAACGGGTTGACCGAAAATGCCAATCACATGATTAAGACTGCCCTCCGAAAAAAATTAGCGGCGCGTGACACGCGTCCCTGGCCCGAGATCGTATATCAGATTGTCGGAATTCACCGGGCCACCCCCAATGAATCCACGGGGTTCACCACCTTCCAGCTTCAAACCAATAGCCTCCCCTGTGTCGATTACCAGGGCAACTCGGAAATTGCCGAAGCAGGGGGTAGAGACACGCGTGCCACCCTTAAGGCCAAGGCCGAAAGGTATGCCGATTTAATGGAGAGGGTCGTGCCTAAATTGGCCCGGAAGAGACAGAAAATGACCGAACTAGCCCACGGTAGACAGGTCCATAGCTACGAGGCTCGGAATGGAAATGCGGGCCCATAGCACCAATAAAAGTTAGGGGACCTGGTGCAAGTACGCAAATGTGCACGCGAGCGTAAACTCGCTCCCAAGTTTTCTGGTTGTTTCCGCGTCGTCGAACTCGGTGCCAACACGGTGCGCATCGCGCCCGAGGCAAGCGCCAGCCATAGCTCTGTCCCCATCGTCCGCCATACCTCTTATATCCGTCTCCTCCCTCCCTTTGATATCCCTCCATCTCCCTCGTTCGCTGAAGAAGAGAACGAAGACGGTCTAGCTCCACACTCGCTCTCCCCCTCCTGCTCTCCTCTTTCATCTTCTTCCCCGTCCTCGCCATGAGTTTCATCAAGGAACGAGCTCTTGGCGATCATCTGCTGCAGCCACGTGGCTACATCTCCGAGATCCGGCAAGTTCGTCATCCGCGGCTTAGTCCTGATCTGCGAAGGGTAGCGCAGTTTTTCTGCACCGAGGGAGTGTGTGCCGCTGCTGCGTTTCGATTCGCCAGGAGTCAGCAACGGTGGTATTGGCAGAGGTGGTAGCTCTTCATCGACGAGCGGCTCCAGGGACGAGCCAAGTCACCACGGTCGCTGCTTTCAGCGGCGACATCAGCACGATCAGCCCCTTGCGGCATACCGCGATCTTGACTTCCTTGCGGGCTGTGTGTCCGAAATTGGATTTAATGCGGGTTTCGCGTTGAAAAATTTCAACGCACGTTCAATTCGCGTTAAACTCCCGTTCAAACGCGAGTTGGATGCGAATTAACGGGGTCCGGGATTATTTGTTTCCTATGCTAAAAATTATCCTAAAATAAAATTAAAAAAAATGCGGCTGTAGGTTTTGTTGAGAACTACAACCCTGTATTTTTATTTTTATTTTTTGATGCTTAAATCTATTTTTTAAAAATAAAAAACATAAACACACTATGAAAAAACAAAAACTAAAATGAAATGAGTGTTTTTATTTTGCGTTTCACACAAATTTTTTAAGGGCTAAAACAAAAACAGAAAAAACAAATAAAAAATATAGGGTTGTAGATCTTTCAAAGATGTACAACAATTTATTTTTTATTTTATTTTTTTGGAACTTCGTGTATTTTTTAAAAAATCAAAACCATAAAAAGCAAATTAAAAAAAGGAAAAAAAGACACACACACAAACAAAATTGGGCCTGTAGCAGGTTGCATGAGTCTGCCGTCAGTTGGTTGAGGGAACCCAGGTCCTGGGCCGCCTGTGTGAATGTATGGAAAGCAGGCCCTGGGCTGGATACGGGTACTGGGCCAAACACAGGCCAAAGGCAGTTGGGGGCATGCAACCACCTCAGGCCCAAGGCCTGTTCTCGTTCGTGCTGTGCCTCAGGCTACCGGGGCCTACTGGAAGCTTCCTGGGACTGAACACAGGCAGGCCACTTCGATATAGCAAAGGGCCTGCCTCCACATTGGGCATGCGGGTGCTGGCTGCATACTGCGTAAGCGCTGCCGCGCTGTAGCTCGTGCCACTCACGCGCTCACGGGCGAGCAGGAAGGAGCACGCAGCCATAGCCGAGCTGCGCTGCTGTAAGCTGGGTGTGGCGCAGGGTGGTCCTTGGGTGCAAGTGGAATCTGTGTGTTGGGGAACGAGGTTGTGAGTAAGGCGAGACACACTCTCACGCGCAGGCACATACACACTTACACTTACACACACACACACACTTACAAACACACACATACACGCACACACTTACAAACACACACATACACTTACAAGCACAGACACACACACACACTCTTACAAACACACACATACACAAACACATGCGCATACATTCATATTCATGCACAGACACACCTTCACGGCAGGCACACACATACACAGATACGCGCACACACAACACACCTACACACACATAACTGGGGCGTTGGGGGTTGGGGGATGTGGGGGCGGATGGGAGGTGCTTCAGGGGTTGGGGGGATTTTTTTTTTTTTTGCCTAGGGCCACGTGTTTCGGACCCCACGCATCAATTCCGTTTTTCCGAAAAGTGCGGGAGCGGCCCATTTTTAACGCGAATTCAACGGGATCTTTTGGAGTTTAACGGGATTCAACGGGAGTTTAATTCCCCCGTTCTGCGTTAAAAAGATACACAGCTTGCAGGAGTGGGTGCAGCAGGTGTCGACTGATTGGCATCACGGTCTCGCGCGCCCGGGCTACAATCTATGTCGGACATCCGGGACGGACTTCGACGTTCGCACTTCTTCGCGTCAGCCAGCAGTCGCGCTCCCCACCCTCATCCCCTTTCAGCACCCCCAATGAACCACGCCGCTCCCCTCGCTCCTCTCTCCACCTTCGGTCTCCCCTCTTTTTTCCCCACCTTCTGGCAATCCGATCTCCATCCTCGCCTTTCTTTCTCCCTCGAGCCTCTCGCTGTGCCGCTCCTCGATCTTGGACATTGGCGGCTGTGTCGCGAGACCTTTGTCGATCTATCTGTGTGCTTGTCCCGAGTGCAGGTGACGTGGACGCGGACCAGTGAGCAGCCTGCGTGCATCGAGTACCTGGAGCTGGTGATTTTGCACGCTTGGAGAACAGACGTGGAAGGTGATCTTCTTGGTTTCCTCTTCGGATCGGTGCGACCAGGCCATCGCCCGCCTATCGTTCAAGAACTCATCGTCCCGATCGTGCAATTGGCTGACGATCTCCCCCTCGACATCGTTTCGCAAAGCGACGACAGTCCCGCCCCGCACGTCATCCCGATTGCGTTAACACCGTACCTTCAGTGGACTACTTGCTTGGAGGAACCCGGGAGTGACAACACCTTGCCATCACGACAGGAGTACTTGAAGCCATACGGAATCATTGATCGTGCCTTCTATCCGAGGGAGCCTGAGGAGGTGCTTCAAGAAGCCACAAAAGAAGAAGGTGACGCCGACGAAGAAACGTCGGAAGAAGGAAGCTATAGTGAATACAGCGAAGGAGAGCAGAGTGAGGAGGAGGAGGAGCTAGAAGAAGAAGAAGACGAAGAGGAGGGAACCGGATGGGAGTGGGAGGACTTGCCGGAGGAAGCGGCGCGTACAGGTACGGAAGCGGAAGATCTCGAAGCGGCACGAAGAAGGGAAGAGATCGCTGCCGAGAAAAACCAGTTGGAGATCGTCAGCGGGGCGAGCCTGTGCATCAACGACGACCCAACCAGGGATCCAGAGCCCCCCGAGCCCGAAGATGGCGGATCAGCAACCGCGGCTCCAAGCACATCACGGCGGAGACGGAGTCGGTCCCCCTCCCCCTCCACCCCAACCCGTCCCCCAGTTTGTCCACGCACCGATGCGGGGAATCGGCCTTCGTCCCCGGTCGTTATCCCGCCGTCCCCTTGATTACCTCACCCTTTGCCAGATCTCTACCCCCGTCACCTTCCCTCGCAACCCCTTCCCTCCCAATACTTTCGAGCACTTTTACTCCACCCGTCTCGCTGTCACCGTCCATCCCAGCCCTTCCCTTCAAGCCGCGAACCCTACGTTCTGTCTACACGTCCTCCTGTTTAGTGTCGCGTGGCAACAGTGCAACGCAGTAGAAGTCTACTGCGTAATCACCGGGACCATCACCGCGTGCCGCCACCACAAACTGTTTCGTGCGGCACTCTTCCTCACTTTCTCCACCCTTTACCCTGACAACCTCGCCTCCCTCCCTCACAGCGGCGATCGGTTTCCCCACTTTCACCGGGTCATCCGCTACGAAGAGCCCCCGATCACGGAGGAAGGGATGAACCGATACTTACCCCCGTTCCCCCCCAACCCTCCCCGTCGACACCCCTCCATGTATAATGTTTACTTTCCCATCCCCACACGACGTTGAGTGCCACGAGTCCCCCGAGCGGTATGAATCAGCAGTTTTCGCGAAGATCATGCCATTGACGATGACGTCAACTTACGCTCTGATTTGATCGACTATGCTGGACTAGGGTTGCAGAGCACACGGAGATCTGATGGACCATGATGGTGCCACCTGGACGATCTCCGAAGCTCGAAGGACAGGGGTTGCATATGACAGGCCTGCAGAGAGCGGGATCTGAAACCGCACAAGTCGGCGTGATCCACGAAGATCTTGCCTCGGATGTTGTTGCCAGCTCATCATGCTCATCCAAGCTCCTACTTCGCCTTGCTTCTTCGTTCCTTGTACTTCTTCTAGTTTCTTCGTCCCCTCACTTTGTTCAAGCTTTCATGCAATCAGGAGATCGCATAAATTTTGGAACCCCCTGCGCGTCACATATGTGACGAACTACTTCCCGACCCCATGCTATCTTTCGTACCCCCTTGGCCCAATACCCTCTTGTGTACCATACCGACCCCACAGAACCCTCGTCACTTTTCTTGATTTCAGGCGCCTTGTTTGAGCCCCCATTTCTCGGAAGAATCTATTGATTNCTTGTGTACCATACCGACCCCACAGAACCCTCGTCACTTTTCTTGATTTCAGGCGCCTTGTTTGAGCCCCCATTTCTCGGAAGAATCTATTGATTTTTGGAATTCTGCCTTTTTACAATTCGGGAAATGCACGGAAAATTTCGCGCGCCTTAGCGAGCGCATTGGGAATCGGGCTCGACAGTTAGAAATTACGAAATAAGCGGAGCCCGACGTATCTTTTTCCCTGCATGAATGTTCTCGGTCACATCRGAGAAAACTCTAGGAATTTTGCGAGAATACGGATAGGCATAGGACTTTCTTTTCCCGCGTCGATTTTCGCGCGCAGATATGGTGATTTCAATTTTTGAATTGGTGTAGGATATAGGCAAGTTGTAACTGTTTCGGTGCCTTCTTTTTCTTTTGCTATCGGCACCGTGCATACGAGCATCCTCCTCCTTATTTCCCGCGCCATCCCTCCCCCGCACTCTCCCCTCTCCCTTCCCCCTCTTCCCCTTCTCCTATCGCAACTGTTTTTCCCTCTCTCTGCTTTTTGCGCGACTGCTTCCCTTTCTTGATCGTCTGAATCTTGGACCCGTCTCGCGCTGCTTTTCGCGCTTCGTCTCTTCCCGCTCATCGACCTTGGCTCACGAAGCCCGGTTGATCCTCCGATCACCCCGGCTCACCAATCRGAYGCGTTGAGTAAGAAGATCTTCCTATTGCGCGACGAATCTGATTGGCCGACCATTGGGCTCTGAAGGATCAACATGGCTTYCGCAGCGCGCTCCCYGTTAAGTCTCCTCYTCCTGCCTCTTCTCTCACACCTCGACTTTCCCCCTGCCTTCTCCCTCCCTTATCCTCCTTCTTGCAACTATAAATTCCGCAAGCGCRTCCGCAAATCTCTCTTACGTTCTCGACTCACAAGCCAGCTTCTGGGAAGCAGTGGCTWGGCGAAGTGTTTGGTGCGAGTCAGARAGTCCTGTCGGGSTGACGATAGGCTGGCYRGTTGCSTGCTTGATCGCCAYGACGGACTGTGGGATCTGGGCGAACCKCGTCGAGTTTGCGTCAGCGGGGTGACAATCCCAGCGGCGGAAGTTGGCACGCGACGGCCAGGATCGTCGGTGCGGGTATGAGGATCGGTGATTGGAGTTGAGTGAGTGATTGGCCCGAGGCCATACTGGAAATTCACGGCGAAAGCGCCTTTGTTGTTGCGGATCTTTATCTTTTGGTGTGAGTGCACGGCTGCAACGCCGAATGTCTTCTTTCGGAACTCCGTATCTCCTATCTCGACATTTCTCTCTCTCTCTCTCCTCTTTCTCTGAGTTGAATGACGTTGTGTCATGAGTTTGCCCTTCCCGTGAATAARAATGAATATGTGTGCTTTCCTATGCGAAGGAACTTCTTCCGGAACTCTTCCATTAGTTTCCTGGGTAATCCCCAGATGTCGAGGAATTGATCTTCTTATCTTGTGAATGGTGGATGCGTGTGTATAGTTCCCTCGGTTGATTCCTGACCTATGCACCCCTGGTAATTTTCGCACCTTCCACAGTGGATGTATGTACGTAGATGCTTGTCTTTTTGTGTTGATTAGACTCGACGACGGGATTTTGTTTGAGAATGCAAGAGTGTTTAGATCTGTGGTTTTGAATGCACTGCGCATGCCATCTGCCTTATGCTGCACGACATCTGCAACCTATCTAYAGGGCAGCCTCGAAAAACAAGGCGGCTCGGATCAACGCCGCGTTGGCTTACTAAACTTGAGTCGCGGGTCGGTCCCTCGGTTAGGTGCATGATCAATCTGATAAGTGGTCTCTCTCTCTCGTATCGAAAAGAGTTGATTGGTTGTTGTGTGCAGGTGTTGTTTTTCTTGATGATGTCTCGGGATTTATGCAATTGATTGATATGTGGACTGACGAATGCCCTTCGATCGGGCGCCAGCCTCCCGTATATCCCGGGCCGACGCGACCTTTTCCTTAAACGAGGAAAGGACAGGTGTATGTGAGTGGGACGTACGAGAAGCTGTCGCACGGATCGGCGGACGGTATTACTTCCCTCCTGAAAATCGTTGCTCCGGATTCGTGGATGCTGGATTTGTCATTATCGATACTCACTTTCCGCCTTACTCGGTATTATTGCCCTTTAACGAGCTGATCGTCATTCCGTGGACGACAGTGGAACCCCACTGGCCTCGCACTCTGTGCACTGAGTGCCAACGTTTCGAGCGCTACGAATCCAAGGGCTTTTACTACCGTATACGGAACGACGACGAACATAGAGAAAGAGCCACACGATTGAGACCCTGCACGTTAGACTCAGAACTAACCAGCGAGCGACGCCGTGACTTAATACACAAGCGAGACACGCGAAGCGTGCCGAAGCCTTTTTGCTCTAAACGAAGGGCCGTAGCACGGTGGGAAGTACGACAATATTTTTTGGACTAAATTTGTATTCCTCTCTCCTTTCGCGCTGAATTCGCGCGTGCATTCTGCAACTCGCGAAAAAGCACCCGACTCACTTCATCGGACCGTCACGGGGGATTTCAGTTTTGTTTGTGTCCCCACACTCAATTTCCAAAAATCCCTGGCACACCCTCATCTTGCTGCTTTTCTGGGCCTCTTTTCCACACACTTAGCACTCCGAACGAAAGACAACACGGGGCGTGAGGTTGCGCGACACAGTCGCTCGTGAAAATGTTTTTCACGAGTTGTCAGGGCACCGTCGATCGAAAACTTGCTAGAGCGCTCTTGCACGCCTGCGTGCAACCACGGTTTTTGCAAGGGTGGTTGGATGGTTTCTTGAAAGGGTGCGGGATTTCTAGAGCGAGCCTGGGTCTGGATGGACAAACCAGGCTGCACAGCACTCTAGGATTCACAAGAGAGTGACAAGAGTGCTTCATGAGCAGGACTATCTAGAGAAAGTGCAACCACGACCGAACTCTAGGCCATTTCGGGAATCTGACAACTAATGCCGCACTCTTGATTTTTTTCACGAGTCATGAGTAGTGCAGCGAGGCCCTTAGGGTCGCTCTCCACTACTCTGGACTCTCGAAGATTTTCGAGAGTGAGTCTAGGGTTGTTACACTCGAGAAACGACTGAAAAAGAGAACATCGCTCCACTTACTCTGGAAGGTTGAACTCGAGAAGGCCTCTCTGATGTCAGACCGCTCTTTGAGAGAGCTACACAACACGGCCAGCACGTGTTCAGCGCCCAGACTCGAGGTGCACTTCAAAACAATGCTTAACTTTCGAAGGTCCTGGATGCCTCCCTTGAAATTCCCGCCGCTGCAGGCAAGGACTCTCGAAACGTCAAGAGTGTCACGGGACAGGAGGTTCTGACCAACTCAAGAAAAACGTTTTCGTGAGTGTGTTTCATGAGGTAGTGGAGCGACAACGGATTCTCGCCATTTTCGTGAGCAGAGACTGACAGCTCAAGAACCCGAATTCCTGACTTGGCGTCTACAGTAAGCGGAGCAGTGCCACGCTCAAGAAATGGCCGGCTTCTAAAGTAGTGGTGTGACGCCCAAACCTCACTCCCAACGCGACTTCCTGATCGGAGTGGGATGTGGGCCTGGAAGTGCGAAAAGGGGTGTGCCAAGGATTTCTGGGAAAGTGGGGGTGGAGTGCCAGGTCGGAACTGAGATCTCTTGTGGCAAGGTTTCAGGGGCATAGATGCAATAGGGCTAAGGGCGAGTTACTTCCAGTCTGTTGGCATTCTATGTCGTGCAGCATAAGGCAGATGGCATGCGCGGTGCATTCAAGGCCGTCCGACCCATCTTTTTTGGGGGCGGCGGTTCGGGGAGAGGTCTGCCCGGGATGACTGTGATTCCGATGAGTCGGGCCTTCGGGTGCAGACACGTGGCGTCTGCCGTCGCGCGTTTGGGTTAGGCCTTCTAGTTTCAGGCGTTCATCGGTTGCCGCGTCGTCGACAATTTCCGCAAGGCGTGCGGGGCCAGTACGGGGCGATGGAATTCCACTGAACCACCGTGAGTTGGTGATACGGGAGGAGGAGACGGAAGGGAGGGAAATTGGTAGAGATAACAACGAAGCCGGGGGATATGAAG